GTTTAGTCCCGCCACCACTTCAAAAACAAATCAAAACATGCTTTTAAAAACTATACGGGCATTACCATAAATTTACTTACCTCACTCGCATAAAACCGAGCACTCAATCTCAGTGCTAACTAACAGAACGATCGGGAACCTAATCAAAATATTCCACAATTAATTATCGTACTATCACAAATTCAAATTGAAACTTCATTAGGATTATCCCTTAATCACGAGACTATTTCTATAAATCTCCACATTATCAGATATCTCCAAATTCATTCTCATATCACAAACTAATCATTTAAATCCCCGTTAATTGTTGACCCTCGGTGTGTGAACAGTAATCTATGAACAGTGTCGTGAACAGTACCCACGACGTGAACAGTAACTGCACTTCCAAAAATTGCCCAAACCACTAGCTAATTCACGGGATTTTCTCTCCAAAAATCACAGCAATCCATTAACACTCAATCACATAAATCCCACTTGAATTAAGCTAAATCATGGTCTAATTACTATCAATTTTCTCCCCTAATTAATCCAGAATTTCAGACACAGAGGGCAGCAATTAAATGGCTAAACTTGCACTTAGAGAAGCTGCCACATACCACAATTCTCCAGCTGTAGAAACCGGAGTTGCAGGGGGGAAAAGGTCGGCGGCAAGCAAAAAACTGAACAAATCACACCCACAAAGCAGGAGCAGCCGGATGGTGAGGAGCAGAGCAAGGCAGATCCGAAAGCTTCATGCAAGGGGGAGAATTTCTGGGTTCCAATTCAGGTTATAAAGCAAGAAGGAAGGAGAAATCTCCAAGCTTTTTTACCAAATACTCAAGAGGGGGTGTCGGGTAGCTTGGGTTTATATATATATTTTTTTGGGCTGCAGCGGGAAGAAAAAGAAGAGCAGAATCGGGAAATGGCTGGGGAAGAAAAGAAGGAAAAAGAAAAAGAAAAGAAACTGATCCTTATCCAATTATTTTCCCTCTTTAAATCCCTCAACTTTTGAACATTTTACCATTAAGCCCCAAAACAACATTTTTCCACAATTTAGTCCTTAACTTAAATGATAAAATTCCCGAAAATTTGGGATATTACAAAATGTTCCATCACAACTAACTACAACATTAAAGCCAGCTTTGCATATGGTTCCCATGCTCGCCAAGTTACAATTTTGAATTTTGGAATAGTAGAGTTGGCTGCAAAACATCTAATTTAGCTCTTTAGTCAACTTTCAACTTCTTGTTCCTTTACTCATTCATCCAGCTTTGAAAACCCATATCTTTCTCATTTGAACTCTGTTTTGGATATTCTTATACTTGTTAGAAAGCTTGAGATGTCTACTTTCACATGAACTAATCTTTTAGGCAAAACTCCAACTATAATTTAATTTATTCTTAAATGAATAGATGGATGTCAATTTTGCATTAAATGGAGGCTTTTCAAATTTCTAGTTTCTACACACCAACACAACTCATTAGACTTTTTCACAATGGTTTGTTATCATCAAAATCATCATAGGAACTCAATACTCTAGTTGTTAAAATCCCTAAAATCATGCTAGTTGGGATTGATTCTAATTTTCCTCAACTAAACTGAATTGCTTAGCAACATTTTAGCAATGTTCTTGATTTTGTGGAACAACTAAGCTCCTCCCTTTAATTTATGTCACGTGATATACATTTATTGCATCATAATTTCTCTTTACTATGGGCTACATCACACCAAATTGTGGCCATTGATCATCCTAAAATGTTGATCATTAGATCTCCATTATGGACATATGGCATCAACAAGAAAATTGTCATATGTGGTGTAAACACTAACATAATATATAAACAATTATTTTTGGCCAACAAAAAATTGTATATAACCAATCACTATATATGCCAACCATGTTTGTGGCCCAATGGTAAGGGTTCAGTGGTGTGGCACCTTAGTCTTGGTTTCGACCTTGACCACTAACATTACTCCCCAACCCTAGCTCTAATACGTAGTTGTAATATATAATTGCCTTATTAAAAAAAATACAATATATAAATATATATATTATTAGTTGTCAAATATAAAAGAAATAAAAACAAAAGTTAAAAGCAATAAACATAGCTAAAGGACGCTTAGTTTCACATTTTGTCTTTGCCTTTGTCTTTGCCTTTGTCTTTGTCTTTGTCATATCCCAAAATTTTCTAAAACCTTAAAATTTAAATTAGGAACTTATGTGGGAGAAATTACTATTGTTGGGCCTAATGACTAAAATTCACAAACCTAAGGGGGGTTAAAAGAGAATTTATTGATAAAGGGGCTAAAACTAATTTTCCTTTTTTTTTCCTTGCCCTTTTTGTGTGTTTCCCAATTTCTCACTAAAAGCTCTACCACCACAAGCCCTAACTTGCCCCAGCACCTCCTTGCCAAAAGAAATAGGTAAAACTTAGCTTTTTTTTCCTCTTCTTAGCAATGTTTAGAGATCAATGAGCTTATGGTTCCCAAATGATGATAAAAAATCTAGATTTGACTGCTAATACCCTCCAATCTCCTAGTTGGTGTTGGGTTTGCTATCCATAGTAAGTGATCACCATTTTCTAGCACTTTCCAATAAGAAATCAGCCACATGCTCATCTTGTCATCTTTGATTTGAATTGGGTTAACTCTAATCCTTTAGACTTCTCAATTTTAGGAGTTTTTTGTAATTCCCCCTTGATTTTGCCCATAGTTTAGCACCACTAGAATCTGATTTCCTTTTTGCTGGAAATTTTGACAGCATGACCTTGCAGTAGTGTTTTGCCCATAACTCTTTCTATAGCTATTGAATTAGGTCCATTCTTGTTTCTATGGAAAGTTAAGAGATAGCCCTACACTTTTTCTATTGGACATTTAACCTAGTTAAGATGTTTTCATAGTAAAAACTCTACTACAAGTTTGGTTCCTAAAGGTAGACAAAACTGGCAACCCAACCTTATGTTAATATTGTGACCATAACTTTCTCTATAGATGTCAAATTATAAGGTGATTATTGATCCTATAGAGAGCTAAGATATAGAGCTACAATTTATCTGTCAACCATTCAGCCCAGATTGGTCAATTTTTTGATGCAAATTCAGTTGGAAGTTCCAATTTAGAATTTGACCAAAACTACTCTCAAAAGCACCTAGAAATTTGCTTTGTTTTTTGCTTTATTCCCTCATTACCTAATGCCATATTGCATCATGGTTTTCCTAGATTTTTAGCTTCTATTTTTCCTGCTTTAAAACCCCTTGTCATTGCTTTATTTCACTACTAAAATAATGCTCTATTAACCTCAACCCTTTCCATTGAAACCTTTCTTGAATCACATGTTTTTCTTGCTTAAATTTTGTATGAAATAGTTCCAAACAACCCAAAAATTTTAGCTATGGTTAATTGTTGTTATAACTTGATATTTCTCTTGTTTTCATGCTAGAAGATATGCAATTATGTTCATTAAAATTTACTTTTTTGAATTTGGTTTTAAATGTAGTATTTGCACTTAAATTGTGTTGTTTTGTCTACAAATTTTCTATTGTTTTGCATACCTTTTTGCCCTGCATTTTTGCCTGAATGCTATCTATTTTTGCCCAGTTTTAGCATGTCTTTTGCACTATTTTGCTGTTGTTTTTGCCCAGAAAATCCTTGTTGTTCAAGGCTTTTTCCAAGCATTTTGGGACTATTTTAAATGGCAAAAACCCCCATCTTGCTACCCAGTTTTTGTGCTACTATCTAGGGTAGTTTTAAACTTGGTTTCTCACTTTTTTCCACTTTGTTTTGTCCAGCAAATCTGTCTGGTAAACCTACCATATGTAGGGTCTTTTAGTGCTATTTTAGGCATGTTAAGTATGGTGGCGAGACCTAACCTGATTGTCATTAGCATATGAGCACGATTGGTTTGAAATCGAATTGTTATTATTTTATTGAGTTAAACATGCCTACATGGAATTTACTTGATTGTTTTGATGATTTGAAATTGGTTTGTGAATTATGAATTTTCTTGTTAACTCCTATATGGTTTTGTCTCCAATATGATTATGAATTATGTTATCCTACCAATGGGAGTTATAAATGCTAGCACAGATCGACATGTATTTCTATAAGGCCAGTTCATCCTGTTAGTGAAAAAGTACACTTATATTTTTGCTATTCAGCCAATAGTAAAGCACACTAATATTTCTGTTATTAAGTCAACTGGGAAAGTACATTGGCCATGACTAATTGAGGGGATCATTAAATAAATTTCAGTATGCATAAAGGATTTACAACCGAGATTTTCTTCTTGTTTAAAATTAAAATGTTTAATTAGCATGCTTTAAATTTCAGTGAGGGCTATCCATATTTTAACTTACTAAGTTATCTCACATAGTTCTTCCTTATCCACCATTTCAAGTAACGAGACTCGGGACATGCGAAACCAAAGGGAGTGACAAGCTAGAAGGCTAGCCACTTGTATTTTGGACTTAGATTATTTTGGAGCCAAGCCATTAGTCACATATATTTTTGGACATAGATGTTGGAAGGTACATCATTTTTTTATACTTTAGATCCCCCTTGGAGATAGTCATGACCTTATTGATAGAGTTGTATAATCTTTGTGCACTTTAGCTTAGTTAAACTTTGGTTATTGAAAGCTAGAATTTTATTTTTGAGATTGTTGATCTTACTTTAGTGGATTGCCAATTGTGAATTATACATAATGAATTAAATAAGTTCCAAGCCTTGTGCATTTGTGGGGTCCTCTCACAAGCATATGATGTCTGTTTCGCTCCCGGTTCTAGGGTGTGACAGTCTTTTGGAATGTGGTTATGGTCTTGTAAAACATGATGTCCAGCCTCTGAAATTGTTGTTGCATTGCTTTGAGCATAAAAGATTCATCCATGTGGTGTTTTCTAGTGGGTGATTTGTCATCATTGCTCAACATGATTGAAACCTGTAAGAAATGTTAGAAATAGAAAATAAAAAGACCTCACAACACTTCCTTACATGTTTCACTCCACTCTCTCACGGAATGGCACTCAACGCTTGTGTTTTACACACTATAGAACTTGGCTTTTCTCTCAAGTATTGCTCACACCTTTTGCCTTTTTCCCTCAGCCAACTTTCCTCTTTCAGTTCATTATTGAACTAAACAAACTCAATTCAAGTTATTTTGCAACAATCTAACTCCAACAAATCTACAATAAGAGTTAAAGGAAATAGAAAGACATGAAGGAACAAACAAGAAAAGCAATAAAAGAACCAAACCCAAACAAATTAAAACAAAAAAAAAAATGAAAGTTCGGTTGAAACACAATGCAAGAAAAACAGATCAATTCTAACACTTCCTAGTAGGAATTGACTCGACTACTTCCTAATGGGGTAGGATCCTTAACTAAGGAAGGAATAAACAAAATTTTTATCTCCTTGTCTGAACAAAATTCGAAGAGAATTTCCAACTCTTTATTGTACTAGGATTCCTTCTTCTTTAAGGATTTTGCCACAAATTTCTTCTCTATATAAGGAATTCAACCACAATTTTGTGTTGCCTGTTTCTCTCAATCTTTTTTTTTTTTTTTTGGTTTTTTTCTCTTTTCTTCTTCTTCTTCTTCTTCTTGGCAATTGTCTTCTTTTTTTTAAGACTTCTCCCCTTTTTTTAAAAAAATTTTCATGCTTTTTCTCTTTATTTTATTTTAGAATCAACAACACTGATTCATAAAAGTAGACAAGAAAGAAAGAATGACACTGAATTTTTTTTTTTGTTTGTTTTTATGTAAAAAAACTAAAAATTAAAGATATGCAAACTTGATTTAAAACCTAATGCTTTGATATCAAGATGATGAGAACCCTAAGAGAAGAATGAGACCCACAACACGATAAAGGATTTTGAAACTGTAGGAAAGCCAAATCAAGTTTATGATAGGACCTTGACTCATTATTTATGTCGCAACAAGAATCAAAGGTAAAGACTTTGATCCGTTGTCTATATGCAACAAGAACTAAAGGTATAAAGTTGGTTGACACGACACCCTTGAACAATTAAGAACGACAATGATAAGTCAGGTTAGAACACCACAAGAATAATCTTGATAAATTCTATAAAGTTCTATAAAGTTCTGAAATGAACCAAAGAGAAAAGTCTCTCAAAAAACTTAGATTCAATAGTTGCCTCCCATTTAGGGTTACAAGTCTTTTTAAATAGGGAAAACTAATCCTAATCAGAATAGGAAACTAATACCCTAAGTTGTAAACCTAATAACCTTGAATTGAGCTTCAAATAAATGAATGTTCAACCCAAAAATATTACAAAAAATGTGAAAATCACCCAAAAATAATCTAAAATAACATGAATATTAGTTTGTTGTAAATTGCGGTAGAATTGTGCAATTTTGATGCAAACTATGTAGGTCAATGCAAATGATCTCAACTAAGCTTCTCTTGAACTTGAATGATGTTTACCATGCCTTGATAATCATCCAAGCTTCAATTTACTTGTTGCATGTTGTTTTCAACCCAGATATACTCAATAACGCCATTTTAAGCTTCTCACATCTTCTTAGCTCTAGCTCTCATAACTAGACCTCCTTGAATGTGTAATGGATCACTTGACGTGATACATGTGCTATCATCTTGATTCCCACCACATGTGCTAAGGATGAATCTAGTGCCCAATGAGTGGCAAGCTCAAATTATGGAGTAACTTATTATAAAGTATGCTAAAATTCCATGAAAATTATTAATTTTTTTATACTAATATAGTATATATAGAATTGCTTAAGTATATATTATAGTCATGGACGAAGCTTCACTAAATTTTTAAGGAGTGGCAAAAAACTTTTTGGACAAGGTAGGGTACAGCGAAGTGGGCAATTGATTGAAAAGGAATTCTTTTGGAGAAAAAATTATTAAAAAAAAAAACCATTACAAATTTCCTTTACATAGTTACATAAACATTCAATTTTTTTAGTAGAGTATAAGGCAATACATAATACAAATACAAATATTATGACTTAAGTATTGTTGATGACCACCCAAAATTTTAAAAAATTATATTTATATAAAAATATAATGAAAAATTATGTGTGAAAAATGAAAAAGAAAGGAGTTGTCACTTATCCAAATTATAAGGTGGGATAAGTTATGTAAAACATGGTTTGTGCAAAGGCGGAGAGCACTTCACAATCCTCCATGTAAAACATGGTTACATACTTTAACATTTGAGAATTATTCAACTTTTATTGTTTTTGGCTTTTGATTAAATGGACTTTAAAAAATAAATGGATGAAACCGCAAAGCTTGAAAATACTTGGGTTGAATTGAAATAAAATCAAGAACATGCATTCACAGTTGCAAACAGAATTAAAAGTAGAGGGGCTGATTTGATTAAATTCAAAATTTAGGATTAATTTGAAAAGATTTAAAATTAATGAGCCAAATTGCTTGATTACAGCAATTTTTATGGCAAATTAAAATTAAATAAAAGGTAATTTTGACTTTCAAATTCAACTTAATTAAGCAAATTAAACAAGATTAAGATTAATTAACCAAAATAATTGGTTTAATTAAATAATTAATCACTAATTAATTAAAATTGATTAAAATAATTAATTACTATAATTAACCTTTCATTAAAATAATTAGACTAATCTAAATACCTTAATTAAGGCTAATTAATATAATCAATAGTTTTAATTAAAATTAATAAAATCATTTAATTATTGTTTAATCAATTATTAAGATTTTATTTTTTTTTTTATGTTTGCATTTTTTGTTGGGTCAACCCATATGACTACTGAGCCTTGATCCATTCCAATTCCACTTCAATCCATAACTCATAAACTTAATGACCCGAAGAAACATAACCCGTCTACTTGAATGGGTAAAAAAAAGTCAAAACCTATGCTAGATGAGGGGATTAGGGTTTGTTCCAATAAAACAAGCTGCAACCAAAACAAAGACAGAAACAAATCTAGCAACAGTTGTTATTGCAATTTTAACAATAGAATGGAGCCCAAGCTAGTAAGTACATGAAATGTTCATTATATCCACCTCAATCCATATCATTTCCACTCAAGAACAATAGCAACAATTCTAGTAAATAACAAAAAAAATGGTGGAGGTTTTTGGATAGCCAATCAAAGTTTGATTTGTGTACCCCTCCCACAGATATGCCCAAATCATTCCCCTCAGTATTGCCCAAAAATTCCTCTATTAAGAGTATACCTAACAAGAGATAGAGCAATAAATGACTATGTAGCTATTTTGAGGCGGAGAATGTGATCTGCAACTACTGCGAGGTGGAGAAGGTAAATCTCCCATAATGGAGTGAGAGGACCATGGTGGTCAAGAGCTAAGTTTCCCATGTGTGACGGTTGTTGTGCTGGAAGATGGTGATGACCAATGATGAAAAGGCGATATCTGCGAAGATGAAATTGGAGATCGATGATGGTGGCTGTGAAATTAGGGTTCTTAAAGGGAGAAGAATCGAGAGCGTTCTTCTTCTTTTTTCTTTTTTTTTTTTTTTGGGTTTTGCCGTCCCCTTCTCTTTTTGTCCACTTCTCTCCCCTCAAAGAGAAAGGAAACTAGGTTTTTATTCTTGGTTGTGGATTGACCTTGAGTTTAGTGGTTTTGGACTAATTTTTGGATGATGTTGGACCATTTTATGAACTGCTGAGATGAGTTTGTAAATGGATTGGGGCTTTAAGGTTTTTGAATATAATTTAACCCTCAACTAATTTCTTCAATTACGTCCTTGAATTCCCTTTTGAATCTCTTCACAATATTTTCTTTTTGGATGTTGAACTTAAAACAAAAGTAAAATATATTAGTTAAAGAAAAGGAAAAAGAGAAAAATTCATATATATATTGCATTTTTGTAATTTTTGTGATTTTTAATTTTGAATTTTTTATATTTTTTCATGAAAGGTCCAAATGAATTGAATGAAAAATCAAGTTATAACAAATATGATATGTAAAATCAAACAAGAAAGCATAAATATTTAACAACCATTGCTCCCTAGGTTTAGGGTTTAGCTTTTCTATCAACTCAGAGTCAATGCTATGAGAGTAATGGTGTTGTTCGTTGGCATGTGGACTTGCTCTTGTGTGATTTGTAGATGGTTGCATTATAAACAATGTTGTGGTGCCTTGGATCCAAGCACATGTTAGAATCATCCCTGAGAAGATGAATGGAGTTTCAATGGTGGCTTGGCTATTGGAGAGTCACTTTGCAAAAGATCGTGCTTATGTGGAGGGGATTTCCCTCCATATGGAAAGTTAGTTGAGTTAATTTTTTTTTTTTTTAAGTGCTTAATGATGACTCTCTTGGGTTTTAAGGGAGTGTGGTAGATATTGCTTCAACCCACATAACATCCTTACAAATCAATTGACTTTTAAGGAAAATTAGCAATTAATAGCTGGAAGAAGTGTGCCTTGTTGGGGTATAGATGCCATTGATTTGCAACCTTTGCACAAAGCATAGAATCCAAGGCAAACTTGCCTAACAATAATTTACATGTACACCTTGGGGATAAAGAGAAGATCAAAATCTCTCAAGTGTTAGCTAAAGAGAATTTTGATTCTTTCTTTTTATTCTTGGTAATGGGTCTACAAATAAAATCAAGGAGAATAAACTTGTTAATTTTCCTTGCGTCATGTAGTCAAGAAAGCTCTCACTATAAAGAAAATTTTCTCTCCTCTCTTTCTAGTGGCCTAGGTCTATAATGAAAATCAAGAGAATTATGTTTTATAGTCCTATTTATACTAACAAAAAAGTGTTTTTCAAGTCAAAAATTACTAAAATACCCTTAATGAAATTTTTTTCTTGTATTTATTCATTAATGGAAATTTAGTAATTTTAGTATTAGACTACCCCTTTCATGTGCAATTTGGACTGAAACACGTAATAGGAAAATAGGAAAACTATAGAAATTTTAATCCAATTAGAATTATATTAAATCATCAAACTTAATCTTGAAGTTAAAGTAGAAAGCAAGGAGGAGACATTCTTTCTTTTTCTTTTCTCCTTGCCACCACCCTAGTCCTTTTTGGGCTAGGAGCACACATGCACTCTCTTTAAGCATGGTGCTGCACAACCTTGGACTAAGGTTTTGGCCATGTAGCCTAAATAAGCTACACTGGCCTACCTTAGATTTTTCATGTTCTAACACTTGAACCAATCAAATCTTGAACCAACTTGGATTAAACAAATTTAATCTATTCTACTGATTAATTTTTTTAATCTTGTGAAAATAATATTTTCAAATAAATTAATTAATCTGCTTTCACAAATTTGAATTTACAAAAATTCTAATCCCATATTAAGCACATAAAGTATGTGACCTTCTAGGTTCTATCATAGTGGGCCTCATAGTAATAGACTAAAAGCAATATTTAGGAGCACATTATAGGCACCCAAAGTGATAGAAATGTCAATGGCTTTGACCAATCTTTCTATGACCAATACAACTTGTGTAATTCAATCTTTTCATCACCAATATCTCAACCAAATAAGATGCATGCTATGTGTCATCATCCTTAGAGTTTGATGTATTTTCTTCAATTCACAAGATAGACTAACTCAAAGAATGAGCATTCTAGTTATGGCCACAAACTTTAAATAGTTGCATCTTAATCAAAAAGCCTAGAGATATTTTCTATCATTAACTTGAAAATGATGAATCCTATCTTGACTCACTCATTATTCTTATGAAATTCATAGTGCATCTAATAACTATATTACTTGCAACCATTTATAATTGTTTTTAACAGCATCAAAGTACATGAGTTTGAAGTCGTAATAATAACAGAGAAACTTTTTCTCTCCTTTGTGGGAGTGTTTTTTTCTCTCCTTTGTGTGGGAGCCGTTTTTTCAGCATTTGTTTTCATCTCAATCTCTATTAGCACAATCACGAGCAACGAACAGCGTAGCGATGGCAGAATCAAGCGTTGGTGCCCTTGCGCGAGCTTTGGAGATGGGACTATCGTTGACGAAGGACGAGGAGGTAGATCTGGCACTAGATGAGGGAGATGGATATCTGAGCCGGCTGGCGGGGAAACAAGGTGGTGCCTGGTTGGTACTGTACTCATCCAAAAGAGGTATAACTTGGAAGCCATGGAGCGCACCCTTGCAGAGATTTGGCGGCCAGTTAAAGGAATGCACATGAGAATCTTGGGCGATAACCTTTTCGCTTTCTACTTCTTCCACCCAGTTGACTTGCAACGAGTACTTACCAATGGTCCGTGGTATTTTGTAAATCATGTGATGGTGCTACAAGCAACGGAGCCAGGGAGACAGGTGCGTCGAGATGATCTATTCGAAGTAGCTTTTTGGATCCAGATTTACGGCCTTCCTCCGGACAGGATGA